CTGCAGAGGACATGGGTTCACATTAAGAACATGGACCTAGGAGTCAGACAGACTAGATTCAGAATTCATATCTTCACTTATTAACTTACTGACTGAGACCATGGCACAGGCTGCATATGTGCAAGCTTATGAATAGAAATATTCTCAAAGGGGCCTGGCACTGTAGCTCACACCTATAATCCTAGCACTTTGGAAGGCTAAAGTAGGAGGATCTTTTGAGGCCAGGAATTTGAGACTAACCTGGGCAACACAGCGAGACCCTGTCTCTATAAAAAAAAATTATCTGGGCATGGTAGTACACGCCTGTTGTCCTGGTTACTAGGGAAGCTGAGGAGGGAGGATCGCTTGAGCTCAGGAGTTCCAGGCTGCAGTGAGCTATGATCATGCCACTGCACTCTAGCCTGGGCAACAGAGCAAGACCCTGTCTCTAAAAATAAATAAAATAAACATTTAAAAAAAAAGAAATATGGCCGGGCACTGTGGCACACACCTGTAATCCCAGCACTTTGGGAGGCTGAGGCAGGAAGATTGCCTGAGGCTGAGAGTTTGAGACTAGCCTGAACAAGAGCGAGACCTATCTCTACGAAAAATAGAAAAATTTGCTGAGCGTGGTGTTGTGCACCTGTAGTTACAGCTACTCAGGAGGCTGAGGCAGGAGGATCGCTTGAGCCCAGGAGTTTGAGATTGTAGTGAGCTATGATGACGCCACTGCACTGTAGCCAGGTGGACAGAGCAAGAACCTGTCTCGAAAAAATAATGAGAACATTCCCCATATGTTTTAGCCAGTGGTATTTCTTCTTTTCTCAATTGTACTTTTTGTTCATGTTTCTATTGGGGTCTTTGTATTGTTCTTATCAATTTGTCCAAGCTGTTTTATAATGTAAACTGGATAGCATAAATTTCTACAAAAAATAGTTCAAATAAAGCATATGAACTTAGATTTTATTAAAGGTTTGGGCAGATGGCAAAGGATTTACATAATAGCAATTGAAGCAATCTCAAACAGAGTTCTGAACACTCCCCTTTTTACAAATCCTTTGTCATTTGTCATTCTCTTTTTTCTTTCTTTCTCTTCCCTATGCCTTCCTCCCACCTCTCCACCCCCAATTTCCATTCCTTTCCAATGGAGACTAGTTAGTTATCTTTTTGGTTTCTTTGCCTCTTTTACCCAAGCTCTCAGTTTATCTTCCATCCTACTAGTTTATCAAGGTATTTTCCTAAACAAGGACACTTATTTTCCTAAGGGGAATGCCAGTAACAACTTGCAAGATATCTTTAATATTATATGGGAGTGAAAAAGAGTTATGAATCTTATTGCCCTATTTGTTTCAACTATTGTCCCCCTTTGTTTAATTTAAAAATTTTATTGCTGGTGTGATTCCATCATGTGCAGCTGTTCTCTGGAATGTGGCCATTTAGCTCTGTCCAACTTCTCTCCAACCTAAGAGTGTGCCACCACCCCACTGAAGATTCAAAGGACAAGGATATGAACCTCCTAAGACCCCATAGCTACCTCTTGGTTGTTAACTAAAGGCCAAAAAAGCTTATCATTTTAGGGTGGATAATGGTGAAAATGAGCACCAGTTATCTTTAAGAATGGTTGGCTTAGAGGCCAGTGCAAAGGATAAATTGCACATTGTTGAAGCAGAGGCAATGAATTATGAAGGAGTCCAAACAAAGTAACACTGTCAACTTGAAAATGTCTGTATAGCCAACGGTTTCCCTTGTGGGCTTTGAAATAACATTGCCTGTGGTCTTATGGTTGAACTGTGGTTCAGCACCTCTGCACATTAGTGGACAGCACTTAATAGCTGTGGAGGAATGTGCAGAGTCAGAAGACGAAGAGGAGGAGGAGGATGTGTAACTCTGAAATAGATCTTGAAAGTGATCTGCCCCTGGAAGTCATAGCATTTCTGTAGAAAAAAATAAAACTTGCTGCTGATGAAGATGATGAGGAGAAGGAGGAGGAAGATTTTGATGAAAAGAAAACTGAAGAAAAACTCCAGTGAAGGAATCTACATGAGATACTCTAGCCAAAAATGCATAAAAATAAAACCAAAATAAAAAAGACTCAAAACTATCAACACAAAGATCAAAAGGTTAAGAATCCTGCAAAAAAAAAAAAAAAAACCCAGGAGAAACTCCTAAAATTCCTAGTTCTGTAGAAGACATTAAAGCAAAAATGAAAGCAAGTATAGAAAAAGTGGATTCTCCTCCCAAAGTGAAAGCTAAGTGCAGCAATTATGTGAAGAATTGTTCTGGATAACTGACTAGGAGGCTGTATTCAAGATCTCTGGCAGTGATAACTCAGACAAAGAAAGACAAATATTGCATGTTTTCACTTATAAGTTGGAGCCAAATAATGTGTATACATGAAAGCAGAGTGTGGGATGCTGGACGAGGGAGACTCAAAGGGGAGGAGGGATGAGGGAATCAATGATGGGAGGTTGCTTGGCGGGTACAATGTGTGTTGCTCCAGAGATCGATGCACTGAAAACCCTGACTTCACCACAATGCAATATATCTATGTAACAAAATAGCCACTTGTACCCCATGAATATATACAAATAAAAATTTCAAAAAAAAAATCTCTGGAAGTGGAAGAAGTCTCTTTAAAAAAAGAAACAGTTTGTTAAAAATTTCTGTCTTATTTCATTTTTGTAACAGTTGATATCTGGCTGTCCTTTTTATAATGCAGAGTGAGAACTTCCCTACTGGGTTGGATAAATAATGTCCAGGTTCTATTGCCAAGAATGTATTGTCCAAAATGCCACTTTAGTTTTTAAAGATGGAATTCCACCCTTTGCTTGGTTTTCAGTATGTATGGAATGTTATGACAGGATAATATGATACAGTAGCAGTGGTCAGACAAATGGAAATGGTGGGCAGACAAAAATATACAAGTGAAATAAGCTCACTATTTCAATTAGGTAAAAATAAATGAAATGAAAATTTTATTTTTTTCCCCTTACAAAAGTTGCCAGTGTCTATAGCCATATCACCTTGAACATGCTCGATCTTGTCTGTTCTTGGAAGCTAAGCAGGGTTGGGCTTGGTTAGTACTTGGATGGGAGACTGCCTGCGACTACCGAGTACTGTAGATTTTAAATAAAAAAAAGTTGCCAGGAAAAAAATAAATCTTCTCTATGCATCTTACGAGTACTTTCAGCTTAGATGGTGCTTCCAGATGGGTAGTATTTAGATAGCTGGGAATAGAGAGAAAGGTGTAGCATGCCCATTACATACTTAGAGACCTAGTATGCTCCTATGCACAGTACAGTATAGAAGAGTGAGCTTCCTCTCTCTTTGTGAAAACATATTCTTTTACTATTAGAAACCATTAAAAAGCAATCATTCCCCGCTTATGTTAAATACATTTGCTAGATTTTTAAATGAGATACGCTAGGCCTAATAATAATTAGAGCTAACATTTACTGAGCACACTACTATACTGCCTCCCAAGTATAAGATGGTAATTAAAACATTGGAAAGTGGTGGAAGGTCAGAAGTAGGTGAACTTTGGTTCAGAAATTAAGAATCCGAGATGAGAAGACTGCTTCAGGACCCCACATAACCACAAAGAAACCAACAGGTTTCAAATGCAGACCTTACAATTGCACTGTCCAAAGCTGTTGTCACTAGTCTCATGTGGCTATTTAAATTTTAATTAAGCTGAAATAAATTTTAAAATTCAGTTCCTAAGTCACAGTAGCCATATTTCAAGTGCTCGATAGTGGCTAGTGGGTACCGTATGGTAAGCACACAATAACATTTCCATCTTTTCAGAAACTTTTATTGGACAGCACTGATCTAACAAAAAGCTGCCTTTAGGCTCATTTTGTGATGGCAGATAATGCCTCTGGAATTCCCGACAAGTTTCTAAAACTGTGTTATGGAACTGGTTACTGGAATTGCCTGAACTTCATCCAAAACTGGTGAAAAGCATCAGATTGGGGTCAGTTTGGTTGGTCATTACTTCCTGTCCAACCTAATAAGGCAGCTCTAAGAGATTTTGTAGTGAATTTCTACAGGGACTCACAGCAGAAAAAGCATAGGATAGGTTAGAAAATCTGGGTCCTATAATATACAGTAATAATGGTGACCACTTACCAGGTGTTTCCTAGGTGCCAGGCACTGTGCTAAACACATATTTCATTTAATCCTCACAATATCTCTCTACGGTATGTATTATTACCACCATTTTGCAGGTGAAGAAGCTGAAGTTTAGAAGTGTGAGGTCACACAGGTACCAAGTAGGCGAGCCCAGATTTAACACCAGGTGTGTCTCTTCCCTGGAGCTAAACAACTCTGTGCCCGCTGGTTCTTCATTTTCCTCATCTGTAAATCTAAAAAGATTAAATCAGAAAATCTCAAAATTCTTTACCGTTTCCAAAACTCTATGTTCTAAATCAGAATAATACCACCTATCTTCCCAAGCTAATGAAATATGCAGGGTTCCGAAGAGCAGCTTGCACCTTACTTTTCCCCAAAGGACATGCTTTCCCCCGTCCGCCTCTGTCCCGAAACCTTCCTTGGTTTCCCATCATCTAATGTGGTTTCAACTGCTTATGACGAGTTCTCGGGGCAAGGAGTGATTCGCTCCAGTATGTAACCCTAAGAAGAAAGAGCACATGCCCGGCGCACATTAATGCTCCATGGACATTTATGGAATTAAGCTGAAGTGGACTGCAAGAGAACAGTGAATCAGGTGAAATGCACTATTACGGCTATGACTCGGAAAACCCCGAGTGGAGAAGCCCGTGTAGGAGGCTGGAGACAAACTCTGCCCCGCAGAAGCCTGCACTGGGGTCTCGTTAGGCATGGTGGCGATGACGTTCCCGCGTGGCCGACGAGACGCCGGCCGCCACACTGTGAGCAGCGGCAGACCCCACCCTCCCCGGAGCGGCCCCGGCGGGCCCCGCCTCCCCGACCCCCTTCGCTCCGGAGCCTCCCAGCCCCGCCCCTCTCCCGAGGCCGGTAGCGGCTGCGGCTGCGCAGCGGCGCGCGCGTGGGCGGAGCGGCGCGCGCCACGGTCAGCTGACTGTTCCGGCTGGCACGTGACTTGCTCTGTGGGTGCTGGGGTCGAGGAAGCCGTGAGGCCGGAGCTTAGGTCGGGGAGGGATGGAGCGCTGAGCCGTTAACGTCTGCCAGGCTGTCTGCCTCCGTACCTGTTGCTGCTGCCACTTCCTCGTTTGTCATCTTTCTGGGTCAGTGAACGATGGCTCTCCCGGATGGGGAGTCCTGGCCAGGCCGAAGCTTGCGCTGCGGTCGCCGCCTGGGAGGGATGGGGGCGGGCGCGGGGGCCCAGGCTGTGGCGTTGGAGCTGGAGCTGGCCGGGTAGCTGTGTCTGATTTCTCGGCGCCGCTTCACCGCAACCTGGGCCTAGGTTCCGTCCCTAAGGAAGAGGAAAGAAGGAAAAAGAGAACGAGCCTTGGGGGTGCTCAATGACAGAGGCAGGAAGGAGAGACGCAGCGGTCCGGGACCTTTCTTCTTGGGGAGGGGTCACAATGAATCCACGCCGCCTGATTGAGGGGGATGAAAGGTGACAGAGTGGCCCAGGTGAGGCTCTGGGGTGATGTGTGTGAGGTTACAGCCAGCTCAGGAGCCTTCACTGGTGTACGCGCTTGTGTGGGATTCGGGGGAGGGCAGTTTAAAGGGCCTAGGAGCCCCTCGCTGCAAGCAGGGGATCCTCACGGAGGATGCGTGGTCCTTCTAGGAAGAGGAAGGAACAGGAATTCAGAGAGCTCAACAATTTATTAAAATGGGGGAAGGGCAGGCAAAAAAAAGAAAAAATCCTGAAAGGGAACTTGGGAGATAGTAACATAAGGCAAATTGAATTATCCAAGAAACAGAGGAGTAAAGAGGGAGCTAATATTCTTTTCAGAGGAAAAATCTGGTATGTTAGTGAAAAATGAAATATTTTGTATTGCTCTGGGAGTGGAGGAGTGGGGTGTGCACAGCCTTAGGAGTTTGCACCAATGTTGGGGAGAAAAATCACACACAGGACACGTTAAAGTACTATGAAGTTATATGTAATTATCAGAAAGAGAATGTGAAGTGCTTTGAAAGCGTGGAACAAGGACAGATGTATGAACTGGCACTATGGGAAAACAGCCTGGAGGAAAGAAAAGTGAGTCTTGGCAAGCCTATGGTATTTGAACAGATTGAGAGAAATGGGGATAACTTTATGGGCAGGGAAAGACACAGGATTTGAAAGCCGTAAGATGAAGAGGGAAGAGTGCTTCTGGGGGGAGTCAGAAGTCTAGATTTGTGGTGGATTGCATCAAGAAGTGGGAAATAAAGTTGAGGTCAGGTAACAAGGACTTTTCAATAATATTCGTTTACCTTATTTGTTCAACTAAGATGTATTGAGTGCAAACTATATATCAGGTATTGTGCTGATGCTAGGGTTTAGGAAGTAGGGTCTCTGCCCTCACAGAGCATACGGTCAAGTGGAGGAGATGGATTTTTATAATAATCATGCAAGTGTGAAATGTGCTTTGGAGGAGTAACGAGTGGGGTGAAAGAGTTTACCAGGGCCGTGACCATCATGGAAGATTCAAAGAAGGCATTGTTGAGGATTTAGCTTTTGACCTGAGATCTGAAAAGAGGCTGAAAAGGAAATGTGAAGGTGTGAGTGAAACGACCATTCCAGGCTGAGAGAACAGCATCTGTCAAGGCCCTGAGATATGAGGAGGAATAAAGCTTTTGAGAAGTTGTAGGAGGGCTAGCATGGCTGAAGCCGGAAGGGAATGGTGTGAGAGAGACAAGTAGAGAAAGCTGGGGTCAGGCCCAGCAGGGCATTTATAATATCCTAAAAGCAAAGGGAAGCCAGTGAAGATTACAGGCAGTGGCGTGAGTCAGACTATGGCTTTTAAAAAGACAATTTTGTGGCGCACAGCACATGGAGAGTGGCAGAAGTAAATGAGGGAAGACCGGCGTGTACGTGGGGCGGGGGTGGGGGGGGCATTGTTGTAATCCATTGAAGAATTTGAAGGCAGAATACCTTTTCTCTCCACTGAGGACTTAGGGAGAATGTTTAACTGTATTCATTTCTAGAGAGAATAAGGAGTTGGGGAAGGGAAAGAATGATTAGATTCTGTTTGCACCCTTCACTGAGGGTAGTTGTATCTACCCCCACCCCCAGCAGTCTTGAAGTAAGTGGGAGAGGCTTCTTTGCAAAAATTTGTTTTGGCCTTTTAAATTTATCCTTCTGTAATGCCGTCTATTCAGAATACCTTTTACTGAAATACAGTTGGTTACAGGGATCAATTACTTTTCATATTTATTTTGTTTTCACAGGTCTTTGAAAGACAGTAGATGAAAATGCTATTCATTGTATGGATAGGAACCTATTTAGAATTCTAGACCCTTGGAACTAGAAACAGAGAGGTAAAGTGATTTGTCTAAGTTACTGTGGTGTGACTTCCACAGTTTTCTCACTGCTAATGTATTGTTCCTGCTAACCAACACAGTACTTACCACAGTCACATCTAGAGAGAAGGATAAGTTTTTTGAAATGCGTTGTAATCTTTTTTTTTTTTTTTTTTTTTTTTGAGACAGAGTCTCACTCTTTTGCCCGGGCTAGAGTGAGTGCTGTGGCGTCAGCCTAGCTCACAGCAACCTCAAACTCCTGGGCTTAAGCGATCCTCCTGCCTCAGCCTCCCGAGTAGCTGGGACTACAGGCATGTGCCACCATGCCTGGCTAATTTTTTCTATATGTATTTTTAGTTGTCCGATTAATTTCTTTCTATTTTTAGTAGAGACGGGGTCTTGCACTTGCTCAGGCCGGTCTCGAACTCCTGAGCTCAAACAATCTGCCCGCCTCGGCCTCCCAGAGTGCTAGGATTACAGGTGTGAGCCACCACGCCTGGCCGCGTTGTAATCTTTGATTCAGCACTTTTGATAGACTTTTTCTAGCAGGACAGTTTCAAAGGGATTTGGCAGTGGTGCTCTATGCTTTTGAAACTGATTCTCTATAATCTTGGGTAAAGCTATTCAATTTACAGTTCAGCTAGAGGAGATTATGAGCAAAAAAGGGTGAACTGAAAGTGCTCAGGTTGTCAATCACAGTTCTTTGGCAACAAGTGGGTCTCAAATTGTGCTGAAGACCAAGCCTTAGGGTTGTGTCTCAGAACTACCGGATCTTTTTCTCTTCTGGTATACCTTGCAGGGACTAGATAAAATCTAAAGAAACAGTAGTCAGGATCTCACTGAATGCTGAGAGCTAGGTAGTGTAATTCAGCTTTTAAAACTGGGCAGAAAGTACTCATTTTTTTTATATATTAGTCTTAGGAGCCTCGTGTACATTAGTTTTTACAACTAAAAAGAAACTTCTGGGTGTCAGGAAATGATTCTGTGATTATTTCCATAACTTGTGACATAATTCCATTGCTAAAGAGCAAGACTGGACTGCCAAAATAAACCTTTGCAAAATGGTCTCCCTGTAAGTCCACCAGCCCCTAGGAAATAAGTCTTCCTTCTGAACTTGACTCTGCTTAGGAGTAACTACAGTTTTGACCAAGTACCTCCTACTTAAATGTCGCTCTAGTACATATTCTGATCTATCTGCAGGGTACATCTTTTCACTCTTTCGATGTGGAATTATTTATGATTTTATTTATAAATTAATTCATGTTGGATTTCCAGTTCATCAATGTTTTTAAGACGTAGTAGAAACCATTAGCATAGTGCCCTTGGAAAGGGCTCAGGCAATGAAATGAACCAGGGCAGTCTAAAATTTCCTATTGACACAAGTGATCCTTGGAACCAGAAATTTCAAACTGTATTCTTGATAATGAAACAAAATTCTTTTCCAGCGGGAGATCTAATATTATACCATTTTGCAAATGTGCTATACATTTATTGAGTTCAAAAATGAATGAGGCAGGCAGTGGAGGAGAGCCGCTTTGGTTACACCAGGGGCAAAAAGACAGCATTAACTGTATGTCTAAAGTGAGGGTGTGTGTATGTGTTTGAAAATTAAATCCAAAAATGGTGTTTTATAGAAAGAGGTTAATGTGTCTTTTAAGGTATTTTAAACAGACTGTTAATGAATAGGAAGTTACTTGTAAATTTAGGTAACAGGTGGATTAACTTTACCTTGAAAGGCTTTCTTTTGAATCAGCCTATAATTTAGGGTTTCTGCATGGGTGCTATTGGCATTTTGGACAAGACTATCCCTTGTTTAGCCCCCATCCACTAAATGCTGATTAGTAACCCCCACATTGGGACAACTCAAAATGCTCCCATACATTTCCAGACTCCTGGAGGAGAGGGGTACCGTTCGGTTGCAAAACATGCCTGTGTTGCCGTCATTTGCTTTTTGGTCAAATATTGGATATTGGGGATACAGAGGTTAAGAGTAACATTTTAAGAAATTAACATATAATTCAAGTCATTTAAAATTCAGTTTTTGATGTTTTAATGTAACTTCTTTAGTATAAAACTGCAGAAACTACACTCTAATATTTCTTTGAGGAACTTGTCTTTTGCAGAAACTGCATGAATAACTCAAATAGGTTCCCCTCAGTCCCAATAAAATGTAGTCACTAGCTGTGTGACTTAGGGCAAGTAATTTCGTTAACTGTTCCTTCATCTGCAGGTGGGGGTGGTGATAGTATCTACTTTGAAGAAATTAAGTGCAGAATTGCTTAGCATATAGAAGTGCTTATCACTGGACACAGAACATGGTACATATTCAATAAGCGGTGGTTGTTACCAGTAAAGAGAAACTCATGCTTACTAGAACCATGAACTGGGGAAAATTAACCATTTTAAGTCTTTAAATTGATGAATTTCAGGCTAGAATATATTGTATTAGAGATATCAGCACCTTCTAGCAGAACGCGGTATTGTGGTCCAGTCACTATTCATAAACTACCATCGCAAAAGAAAAGGGAAGTAGTGTCTTGGGAGCCATGAGTGTAGATTCAGGGAATCCCCTGGCATGGAAGGAATTATTTACTCTCTGGGTCACTGCTGAGTTTTCTGTATGGAAAGGGCGTCTCTGGAAGCTGAGAAGGTTCTCATGATTACTTTTAGTAATAAGTGTGCTACAGTGCCTTCCTGCCAATTCAGCCAGTTTTACCAGAAATTACTAGAAATTTTCCATCATTGTATTATGTGTTATTACCTCTCCAAGCCCCCCAAACATATTTCCAGATTTTGTTATAGTTATCCATGTGAAAGTAAGGCTTTGCTTTCA